CCATGGATTGTAGCAAAAATGGTGCTTGGGGTTTACAGACTTACTAGCAATCAAGAAAAGAAGTTAGAGAGAAAAACAGTAAAAATAGAAGAAAGAAAAAAAATCATAAATAAATAAAAGATGGAAGGAGAAACAAAAACAGAATGAAATAGAAAAATAAATAAAAACAACATCTGAGCAATAAAACCAAAGCTGGTTTTTTGAGAATTAACATGAAATCTCTAGCAACACTGATTTAAAAAAAAAAGAACCCAGCCAGTGTGGCTCAGTGGTTGAACATCGACCCATGCACCGAGAGGTGGCCGGTTCGATTCCTGGTCAGGGCACATGCCCAGGTTGTGGGCCAGATCCCCAGTGGGGAGCACACAGGAGGTGGCCAATCGATGCCCTCTCATCGATGATTCCATCTCTCTTGCCCTCTCCCTTTCTCTCTCTAAAATCAATAAAGAAAAACAATTTTTTAAAAAAGAGACAAAGAATATAATGTTAAATGTAAAGAAAAGCATAATTACAGACACACTGAAGTTTTTAAGTCCTAAAAGAATCCCATCAATAATTTTATGACTAAAATTAAAAATAGCCAACTTAAAAAATAGGTATTATTATCCAAATAGACTCAAGAAAAGATAGAAAACTGAGATAAACCTCTAATCTGTAGTATGTTTTAAAAAGAGAAGTGTAGGGGGCTTGGGGGCAGGGTGGAAAAAGTGGAGGGATTATCAGCACCAATAAAAAACCTCATAGGCACAGACAACAGGAGGAGGTAGAAGAGGGTAAAGGGGGGATAAATGGTGATGGAAGGAGACTTGACTTTGGGTGGTGAACAAACTTACATGATGCATTCTAGAACTGTACACTTGAAACCTATATAATTTTATTAACCAGTGTCACTCAAATAAATTCAATAAAAAAAGGAAAGTGTAGTCCAAAGTCATCCCTCCCCTCCAGAAACACACCTACCTAGAAAGGAAGGGCTACTCGATTTATTATGTGAAGTTACTATAACCCTGATACCAAAGTCAGAAGGATTTTACAATAAAAGAAAATTATAGATCATAATTTAGTACCAATAAAAAGTACTGACAAGAATAGACTCCAGGTTGTATCACTGTTGATTCACTCCCAATATTAATCCAGAGACAAACCTTTTCTGAGTGACACCTTAAAACCAGTTGTTAATACACTTAACAGTAAAATAAAAAAATTAAAACAAACTTTCCTAATAAGATGGACACAGAACCAAATCAAAAGCCTGAAGGACACTAGGACATTCAATCAACTGGTTTCCCTGTTTGTGACCTGTAATTCTAGCTGGAAAAGAAAACTTTTCTGTCATAATTTGCTCTTCCAAAACACACAGCTGCTACCTGATATTTAATGATCTTTTTGGAAGACTAACATGGAATGACTTCAACATTAAAAGAGGACCTCCAGTTTAACATGGCAGATCAATCATCCCACCCCTGCTTTTCTCAAAGTTCCTGTAAAGTAAGAGTAAAAGGAGCAGGGGGGATTAACTCACAGTAACTAAGAGAATGAAAGATGACAACATTCTGAAGCTAGAAAACAGATGTCCAGCTGACTTAGAACAAAAAAGGTGAAAATTCTGCCAACAGTGGACGGGATCCAGAAGCACACAACTTCAAACTGAAGAACTACAGGACGGCTCAGGAATCGGTGACCCCCAGTATCACTAAAGAGGACAGATTGAACTGAAAACACCACACTGAAAAGGGGGAATTAAGGGAAAGTCTACATGACACTCTCCATAGCTCTGCTCAACTTGTGGCTACTAAGATACCAGCAGCCAGACTTGCATCCTGGAGACAGGAGCTAGCAATCAGTAATCAATAACTTTAATACTCTAAAATACGAGCAGACATTCAAAAACCACGGCATTTCAGATAGATGTAAGAGAACAAAACAAAAAATACATCAAAAAAGGAATTTAAAAGAGAAAACAAAGAAAAGGTATGAAGAACAACACATAATGGGGACACATAATGGGGGGGGGCCCACACATATTCTCAGTGAGAAAATAGAAGATATTACATAAAACATAAAGAATAGGATACTATTTTAAAAGGTTCAGAGAACAAAACAGAGCTCTAAGATAGGAAGTCCAACATCCAAATGAGTTCGAGAAAGTGAGAACAAAGAAGAAAGGGAAGACAATCAAAGAACATTAAAAATACTTTTCCAAACGGGAAGGATGTGAGTTTCTAGACTGAAAAAAACCAGTAAGTATCCAGAATGAAGGATGAAAGTGACCCATATGAAAGCATGTTGCTGGAAAACTTCACAGACTGAGAATGAAGAGAAGATCCTGCAAAATTTCAGAAGAAATAACAAGACAGAGCACGGAAGATGAAGCCAGAATGGCTTCAGTGGTAAGAGTAGAAAAATCTCCTCAAAATTCTGAGGAAATTATTAATTATAACCCAGAATTCTATACTACATCAAATATAGTAATAGGATAAAATAAAGATGTTTTCAGATATACAAGCCTCTAAAAACATTACATTCCCATCATTCTTTTAAAGAAAGCTCCTAGAAAATGTATGTCATCAAAATATCCCCCTTGCCCTGGTCACTGTGTCTCAGATGGTTGAGCAATGCCCCATGTACCAAAAGGTCACTGGTTCCATTCCTGGTCAGGGCACATGCCCAGGTTGTGGTTTCGATCCCAATTCGGGTGCACATGGGAGGCAACCGATCAATGTTCCTCTCTCTAAATTCAATAAAAACATATTTTAAAAAATCCCCTTTGTAAGAAGTCAAATTTCTCTAGGGAATTAAAAACTGATCTGCCCTGGCCAGTTTGGTTCAGCGGTTAGCACGTTGGCCTGCGGTCCAGAGAGACCCGGGTTCGGTTCCCACTAAGGGCACGTATCTCAGTTGCAGTTTGTCCCCGGCCCTGGTTGGGCTGTGCGGGTGGCAATCACTTGATGTGTCCCTTTCATGTCAATGTTTTTCTCTCTCTCTCTCCCTCCTACTCTATCTGAACAAAAAATGGAAAAATGTCCTCAGGTGAAAAAAAAACACACACACACAAAACCCCCAAAACTGGTCTTCTTACTGTTGTTAAATCAACCCGTCAATTTAAGGAACACAAAATGCTGCCCTGGCCAGTTTGACTCAGCAGTCAGAGTGTCAGCCTGTGGACCGAAGTTTTGCAGGTTTGATTCCTGGTCAAGGATATGTACCAAAAATATCCTCAGGTGAGGATTAACAAATAAAATACAGCCCAGCCAGAGTGACTCAGTTGGTTAAGCATCATCCTATGCATCATTAATACAAGCTGTATGCTTTAAAAAGAACACACATACTCACACAACATACTGAAGTGAAATTTTACATGTGTGGCTGGACAATTGGTAAAAACTCATTAGGAAGCGGAAGTATTTGTTTTTAATTTTTTTAAACATGTTTTTACTGAATTTTTAGAGGGAGAGAGAGAAACATTGATGTGTGAGAGAAACATCGATCAGCTGCCTCCTGCACACCCCCCACTGGGAACCGAGCCTGAAACCCAGGGATGTGCCCTGACTGGGTATCGAAGCGGGACCTCTCAGGCCATAGGAGGGCGCCCAATCCACTGAGCCACACTGGCTGGGCAGCAGAGGCTTTTAAAACTGAGGAATTTCACTATGAAATTCCATGAAGATTGGCTTTAGAATTTTTGCCTTAGGAAAATGTTTAGTTTCATTAAAGCCTGTCTATTTCTTAACACACACACACACACACACACACCTTGAAAAATCTGTGTCATTCATAGCAAAAGTAAGGTCAGCGCAAAGTATTTTACCAGTGAAGCACTACTATGCTTGTTAATGACAAAATGTATACCCCACTTTTTAGAGCTCACTATTGTGTTAACAAGAAAACTTGGCACATATGGGGAATGAAATACTATATATAAAACTTGCTTATTGTTTTATAAGTCCTAACATCCTCCTTTTGCTTATTTTTCACTAATTAACCTTAGAGAGGTTTTAAAGTGATTGCCTAAGAAAAAATGTGAGGATAAGGTTCTTTTATTTTCACCCAAAAGCATCACTCCTGATACCAGCATATTTCAACTGCTGATTTGGTTTAGTCCCCCTAACTCTCATAACAACAAAGTCACAAGCATTTTTTATTCACAGAGTTATAATCACCTAAAAGTCCTCTAAATGCCCCTAAAAATCAATCAACACCACTTTTGATTTTTAAAATGATTGTTCTTCTTATATTGGATTTCTTTTTTTGCTTTTATCTTCAGATAGAGCGGGAAGGAGAGAGGGAGGAAGAGACAGAAACATCGATGTGAGAGAGACACATCAAGTGGTTGCCACCCACAAAAATCCCAACCAGGGCCGGAGACAAACTGTAAGCAAGGTATGTACCCTTAGTGGGAACCGAACCTGAGCCTCTCTGGTCCATGGGCCAACACTCTAACCACTGAGCAAAACCGGCCAGGGTTATATTGGATTTCATATTGTGCTCTACCCCATCCGGTATGCCTGGTCCCAAAACCTTATGAGTTAAGGTTGCAGTGTTTGAAAAACAATAAAAACAAATTCATGACAAACCAGCTTAAAACCCTGCTTTTAGAAGAACACTTCATAGTTTAAATTTATATGCATTATAAATATAAGAAATGTAAACCCAGTATAGGGCTTTTCCGTATCATTTTCTTTGTATACAGTGTGCGTGAACACACACCATCTGAGTTGGAATCCAATGTATTGCTTCTTTTCACTTCCTATCAGCAATGTAAGATTTCTAAGAAAATCAAAGTCAACATCTCCCTAAATCTGTTGTCTGAAGTAGGAGTGTTATAGATGAGGCATTAGCTTAGACCCAGACCAGCAGCTATTCCCAGAGTAAGCAAGGCAAAGGGTGATGAGTAATTACACCAAATGCAAGGGCTCTAACCACTTTCTGCAACCTGTACTCATGCCACCTCCCCCATTCCCCATGGACCTCCATACCAGAAAGAAAAAGTACATACGCACCTTAAAATCTGTATTATTGATATATTCAAATACCAAAGCTGGTGTCTTTGACTGCAAGAGAGAATATTAATGCTTATTAAGTATTCAAACAATAAACATAATTTATTCTGTTGTACCCACCCATCCTCAAATTCCACTTAAATAAAAGATTCACCCACCAGGGAGAAATTAATAAGAAAGTATCCTCTTGAAACTTTATCTCTTGAAATTTTATGTTTCAAAATAACAAGATTGTGGGCAACAGTAGCAGTGGGGAAGTGGGTGGGATATAGACGAAATAAAGTTGGTCAGGAGCTAACTGCTAAAACTGAGTGCTGTGCATAGATAGGTTCATTATATTATTCACTTTAGTTTTATAAATGGTTGGAATTTGTCAAAATAAAGTTTTTTGTTTGTTTGTTTTTTAAAAGAGATGTATTCTGACCAACCTGTCCACTGGGCCTGGCACATTATGCTAAGATTTCTACTCTGAGTGTTCCAGATTGCCAAATACAAAAGGAGCGACATGTTTTCATCTTGGTTTAGCAAGTCGAACGCATTTTATAGACTTGTCATGGGCCTTTTCAGGATCCAAAAGGAAACTATCTATGGTTATCAGGAAGCCACAATGTGAAATTACTTCCTTGGCTACAGACCATTAGAGAATGTTTCACCTTACAAAGTAAATGTGTTCCCCCCAAATCATATATAATCAAGTATTTTTAAAGCACTATTATCTTTAATGCAATGAGTATAAAACAGTCAATATTTCCTTGTTGTAAATACAAATTTTCAAATGTCTTTAACTGAGGTAAAAATCACGATAATTGGCAGTAACTGGCTTTCAAAACTGGGAGAAAAGCAGGGGCTTAAAAGCATTATAGAAAGAAAAAAAATCATCTTGGAAATCTTTATGGCTGGGAAGTTTTGCTGAAGGAAGCAAATGAAAGTTACCTAGGAAACAGGCCACAGTGTATGCACACAGGTCTTTGCCAGGACAAACAGCAGTCACAGCGTTCCTCACCAGCCCAAAGTTGAAAGGGTTTCATCGAGACCACCAGATCTCTCTACAGGCTGGGAGGAAGCTTCTTCCTCAGTAAATAAGGAGATGATGGTTCCCTGTTGGTTTTGTCCACTTCAACTTACTTGTTACATATCATGTAAAACACACACACACTTTAAGCAACAAATTACAAAAACAGTAAGACAGCTGTCACCAAGTTGCTTGTCCTGTAAAATCAATCTGAACTGATCAGACTGTGATATATTTGTAACGTGAATTAGATGGAATCTAGAAAATAATAACCACCTTTCTCAGTCTTTTCAGGAACCAAAATAAAAAACTTCTCTCATTCTTCAACTCAACAACCCTGTGTAATCTTGGGCAAATTACTTAACCTCTGTAGACTTCGGTTTTCTTATCTGTACAATGTGATAACAACACCTACCTCACTGCACTGTTGTGAAGATTACATGGTGAGATATGGTTAAACACTAAGAATAGTGCCTGGCACACAGTAAGTGTCCAATGCATGTTAGCTACCACATTACTATGAGGATGTCTTTAGCAAACAGAAGCAAAGACCTACTTCTCAAATAAACAAAAGCTATCATGAGAGAACAGGGAAATATTTGAGGCACAGCAGGCAAAGAACAGAAATGGGATGAGAAGTGGCATAAAAGTGGTACCAAAAAAGCCTGAGTTAATCATAAATACTTAAGGTTAAGTAACTCCCAGGAAGAGAAAAAAAATTAAACATCACTACTAAAATGGCTAAAAATTAAGCATTTCAATTTTAACAAAAATACATCAGATTATTTCTACGTATACAATGTGAACCCCAATACTGGATGATGAATTAAAGACCAGTATGAAAAACAGCAAGCTTGCTTCCTCAAGGTCGGTGAGACTGACCTGCTCGGCTCGCTATGCCAGGTGTCCACAAGGAGATGTTCAATACTTCCTTCTATAGACCCCTTCTATAGACTTCCTTCCGTAGACTTTCAAGGTAAGGTAAAATAATGCTAACTAGTAGTAATAAGCTTCAAAACTGGCAGAAAAGCGGGGCCTTAAAGGAGGTATTCAGCAAACATTTGTGAGCTGAATCAGAATAATGAGATAATAAACCTGGACAGGGATTTGTCTATAAAACACACCTTTTTAGGTTCTATAGAAGCGGTGGTGGCTATTTTCTCATTGGGCCACCATGATTTTTTCTGGATTTCAAAATCATTCAGTAGTAAAGACACATGCAATTATCCTCACTATATAACATTTTTCAGTATTTTAGGTTGTGTCAAACACACACTCACTCTCTCTCTTTCTCATACTCTCCCCCAACCATCAGGCACCTACCACAGGGTCCTTCACAGTGTCAATCAGCTTAATGATATTTGTTCCACCACGAAGGTTCTCCAGAATCTTAACCTCTCGTTTTATCTTCTTTTTCTTCACTGGCTTAAATACACAAGAGTAATCAGAAGTAAGACTCCCTTTGAAAGTAATAAAACTTTAAAATGATGTTAGCTAATCATATGGATATTGCACTCTCTCATACAGTGTATTATATTAAAGAGCATGTCTAAATTAAACGAGAAAAAAAAAACCAAGATAAAATGGGTCTGCCCATAAAAACTTAAAAGATTAAGTTAAATAATTTACAGACTTATAGCTTATGTGTCAGATCTTTAAGTAGAGCACTTAAAAATTTTGAACACCATGTCATACTTTAAAAATAAAATGCTTACTGGGTTAACTGCCAAGTGGAAAATGTTATAGCTCTGAACAGCTGTATATCATGCACCCACAAATGGAAAAAGTTAAACAAAATGGTGAGACACCTGCTCTTCCAATGAGTTACATGTAATTTTGACTTCCAGGAGTGAAGACCAGTTCACTGACATCAAGTTACAAACTTGTTTCCCAGCTGCTGGCTCTCATTTCCTGTCGCCACTCCCATTTCCTTAATATCTAGAACCTGAAATCAGCAGAGCCAGTAAAACTTCCCCCAGAGCCCATTCCCAGAGAAAGAGATGATGGATCAGCAAAGGAGAAAACTGATCTCTGATACAGCAGTGATTGAAAATCTCTGCTATCTGCTAATTTTTCAATCTGCTCAACAGAAAAATTAAAGAACTTAATCAGAAATACTGGTATTATACGTATTATTTCTTATTTTAAATGGGCTAAAGAGTTTGAAGAAGAAAAATAAGTATATCACAATCAACGACGTTTTATAAAGCACTTGGCACAGTACTGGTACATAGTAAGCACTCAATAAATGTCAGCTTTCTTTAAAATATATATATGTTGTTTTTTTTTTATCCTCACCTGAGGACATTTTTGCATTTATCTTAAGATACAGCGGGAGGGAGAGAGGGAGCAAGAGACAGAGAGAAACATTGATGTGAGAGAGACACATCGACTGGTTGCTACCCACACAACCCCAACTGGGGCCGGGGACAAACTGCAACCAAGGTACATGCCCTTAGCGGGAACCGAACCTGGGTCTCTCTGGTCCACGGGCTGATGCTCTAACCGCTGAGCCAGACCAGCCAGGGCTGTCAGCTTTTTTTCAAATTTAGTCATAAGTCATATTTCATCTTCACAAAATTCCTATGTAACAGATTCAGCCAGGATGAGCTATTTGCCCAAGGGTCACACAGCTAATAGTAGAGTGGGGGCAGGAATCAAACACAGACAGTCTGTCTCTGCAGGTCTCACTGGCAGCTATTGTGCTTTCATTTCCCAAGTGTGGCTACGTAACAAACATAACTAAGGAAAGGGAGTATTCCATCACTGAGACACCGTTATAATAGCACAGGCAGACCGAGGCCAGTGGACTTGCCATGAAGTAAGATTTAAAAAGCAAGTGTGTGGGGGTGGGGGGTGGGATATAACATATACATGTGCCAAAGAAACCTTCATCTGTTGTTGGTCACTAAGCTACAGCTTTGAATATACAACAAAACAGAGAGGGAGGAGATTATGAAACACAGCATCTGCATCACCTATAAACGGAGTGCTCGACTAAGAGACTGGAATCTAGCTGCATCCTTCCATACCAGCTGCCAATCATCATGCCCACTCCGATTTGTCAGAGTTCCCAGTAGAGCAGATCTGGTGGCTACTGTGTCCCTTGCCCATCTCCATTTAGCAATCTTACTCCTTATTCCCTTTTTCATAATTAGGTAGGCTCAATACTTTGGGAAAATGAAGCATTCAAACATGAAGCCAGAGAAAGACATACTACAAAATAAGTACCTATAAGCTTCAAAAATGTCTATGTCATGAAACACACAGACTGAACAACTGTTCCAGATTAAAAAGATAAGACAACTGAATGTAACATATAATCTGTGATTTTCTTTTATATAAAGAACATTATAAGGACAACTGACAAATGTGAATGGGGACTATAGATTAGCTAAAAGCATCATATCAATGCTAATTCTGACCTTTGATCCTGGCACTATGGGTTATGTAAGAAATTGTCCTTGTTTTTAGGAAATACACACTAAATTAGGGATGACTGCAATTTATTCTCAATCACTTCAAAAAATATGTAAAATAACTAAGTATACACACACATACACAGATGTGTACATACATATATATGAGAAAGACAACAAGAGAGAAGGATAAAGCAAATATTAACATTAGAGAAACTGGGATGAAAGATATATAGGAATTCTTGCAATTCTTCTGTAAGTCTGAAATTATGTCAAAAAGTTCTAACAGTATATTCACTGTAAGAAAATTCTAGACTTATCATCCACTAAAGGAAAGTAATTACAGATCTGGGGGAGTGGTAACAGAGGAAACAAACAAACAAAACAACCACAGCCCTGGCTGGGTTTCTCAACTGGTTGGAGCATTGTCCCATACACCAAATAGTTGCAGGTTTGATTCTGGGTCAGGGCATGTACAGGATGTTTCTCTCTCTCTCAAATCAATTTCAAAATATAAAATAAAATAGAAACACATCCTTGGGTGAGGATTAAAAAACAACCACAGCCAAAGCCTGTATAAACCAAAAGCCCTCCTCTCCTCCTAACAGTGAATTAGTACAGAGGTAACCCATTAAATAAGTTGCTTTATATGACCCTGCCACATATAAAGCTTTGCTATGCTCTCCTGTTATTCAGCAACAGGTCAGAGATTGTTCTTGGACAACCCAGTTAAGATTAAGATATCTTTGCCCAGCCGGTGTGGCTCAGTGGTTGAGTGTCAACCCATGCACCAAGAGGTCGCTGATTCGATTCTGCGTCAAGGCACACGCTCAGGTTGTGGGTCAAATCCCCAGTTGGAGGCATGGAGGAGGCAGCCAATCAATGTTCTCGCTCATCAATGGTGCTATCTCTCTCTCACTCTCCCTTCTTTTCTCTCTGAAATCAATAAGAAAAAAAAAGAAAAGAAAAGAAAAGAAAAGAAAGTGACCTACAGCCCAGGACATGCCCCTCCAAAACATGGGCACCTATTCTCTGTAGGAACCAGGCTACGGGTAACTCCCTTTAGCCTCAGCTTATTCCTCTGAACCTGGGAGAAGCTTCAAAAGCTACAAAACCAAAAAATGAATATTTTTTTTCATTTCTACAGAGTGGGAAGGACAGAGAGAGAGAGAGAAACATTGATGTGAGAGAGACACTGGTTGCCTCCTGCACAACCACAAACCAAGGTACCAAACCACAACCAAGGTACGTGCCCTTGACTAGCATCGAATCTGTGACTCTTTGGTCCATGGATTGATGCTCTAACCACTGAGCAAAACTGGCCTGGGTGAAAGTGATCACTTAAATTCTACAAAAAGAACTGGAGGAAAAAAGTTAGGATTCGTAAGGGGGGACCCTCGCATCTTAAGGAAAATAGACTGTGAATTTTACAGAAACAAGGATGCTCTGCCTCTCTAGAGCGGTGTTTGCACTCATTCACCACCAGTAACAGAAAGTGGAGAAAATACACACATTTCCAGGACAATCTCATGATTTCATCTCACACACTAGAAGTCTCTCCCAAATAAGGTTCATTCATTACAATTCAGAGATTATCTGTGTAAAAGATTCTAACTGGATCAGCTTAGCTGTTTTACAAGCCTCCCCCAAAATGTGTTTTTTTTTTTACTCAAAATCTAGTAGAGAAAATGGCAAATAGCTTTTAAAAAGAAGTATAAAATCAAGTTTCAAAATAAATGAATTTTGGTACACATCTAGAGAGAATAAAGGAAAAAACTCATTTAGAATTTTCTGTGCATAGCTCTAAAAAGGAAGGGAGGGAGGAAGGAAGGAAAGGCCTTTCAGAAGGTTTCTGCCCACACAGTAAAGAGTCCCAGCTATCTGGGAGAACCTTGTCCAATGTAATCCAAGACTAAGGTACTTTTTCTCTTTCCCTATTTACCAACATTTCCAAATTTTGAAACAAAAGAAAAATTTAGTTATGGGATGCTTGGAAACACAAAAGTTGATAAAGTCAGTAATCTGTCCTATTTATTTACTCAGAGCAGTTTTTTAAAAAGCCAGATCTGCCCTGGCCAGTTTAGTTCAGCGGTTGGAGCGTCGGCCTGCCGTCCAGAGAGACCCGGGTTCGGTTCCCGCTAAGGGCATATACCTCGGTTGCAGTTTGTCCCAGGCCCTGGTTGGGTCATGCGGGTGGCAGCTACTCTGTGTCCCTTTCACATCAATGTTTCTCTCTCTCTCTCTCTCCCCCTTCCACTCTATCTGAACAAAATATGGAAAAATGTCCTCGGGTGAGGATAGGAAAAAAAAAAAATGTTAAAAAGCCAGATCTGAGCCCTGGCCAGTTTAGCTCAGCAGTTAGAGTGTTGGCCCGAGAACCAAAGAGTCTCGGGTTCGATTCTGGTCAAGAGCACGTATCTCGGTTACAGTTAGATCCCCGGCCCTGGTTGGGGTCGGCCCCAGTTGGGGTATTTCGGGAGGCAACCAGTCAATGAATGTCAATGAATGTGTCTCTCTCACATTAATGTTTCTCTCTCCCTCTTTCTCCCTTCCACTCTATCTGAAAAAAAAAAAAAAAAAAAAAAATCAATGGAAAAAAATCATCAGGTGAGGATTAAAAAAAAAAAAGCCAGATCTGAGAATGATTTCAATTCCTAGCATTTAATTATGATTGAATATGTAAACTAACATTTACCACCAAAGGTATAAGAATAAATGCCAGCAAATATTTAACAGGCAAAGTTCCATTTTAATTTTTTTGTATTTCAAATTAATTGATAAATTCAAGACTGGACTATAGTGCAGAACTTTCAAATCTGGATTTACTTTTATTCCACTACCAAAGAAATGATTACCCAACTAAGATATAAATTTCATCATCTGCAATAAATACTTACAAAAACACTGGTTACCAGGAATGTAGGATAAATTAAGGAAGAAAGTTCAGCCTGGATGACAGCATTTACTTTTTCTTGGTAGCATCTCTAAAATCTACGGGGACTGACC